CCTAACATCTGCAGACATTCACAAATCTCAGTGGTGTCATGAATTCGCCATTGCAACTTTGATTATAAAGGTTAATACAAAAGTATTGTAACTTATAAAAGTATTACTAGCTTAGATTATAGAAATGGGAAAATAAGAAATTTCTCCAAAATGAGACCCACCACTGGATGAAATCATCATCAATAGCGTGCAGACCAGTGAAAGCAACTCTTCATTTTCAGAGTATTTTCTCACTGTTTCTAGCAAAGAGTTAATCACACTGTCATCCAAGCTTCCTTCCACATCCAGATTACGTTCTAGAGCTGTCAAAAGTAAAAATTTGAACAGAATGAAGAGATTTCAGTGGCTTTGAATGAAATCTGAGCTTCCTGTTCTCATCATAAGCAAAACATGAACTACATCACACAACAAAACCATGAGTTATCTTAAACATGCTTTTTTTTCCTGAAATAAAATTCTTATTAGTTTCAATCCAAGGAAGTCTAATTACTGTACCTTGACTAAGAATTTCAAGCAATAATCTGCAGCCATCTCTCTGTAACTCGAGAGAATCTATGTGAGTCTTCATGGCAGAAGTGATCAGTCCTGTGCATGCCAGCAGGCAGGGTAAAGCTATGGAGAAAAGATGCGAGTCAGCACCCACTTACACTGTTAATTACTTTGATTGCTCAGCAGGTGCCTACAGTTTAAAACCGAGTTCCATTTTTCAGAATCTATAGAGGAAAATATTCCACTACGTTTCCTAATCGTAGGAAGACTTTGAGCTTTTGGAATAGCTAGTACAGCCATCAATTTATCACAACATTCATTATAAAAAAAGTTCAGGGAAAACTGGATGGTTTCTAGGGATCCATTCTGAGCATGTTCAAAGATGTGAATACCAATCATGGCAAGCCATGGTGCAGAAGTGTCAAAAAAGTGAAAACCAGGTGTGTGCCCAGCCTTGCATTGCTGCCAGTGGGTTTGAATAGGTGTTGAAGACATTAGTGAACAATGAAAAAAAAATTCTTTCTCATTTTTGACTACAGGTATAAAACACTCACAAGCCAATGACAATACTAAAAGCTAGTACAGCTATCAATTTATCACAACATTCATTATAAAAAAAGTTCAGGGAAAACTGGATGGTTTCTAGGGATCCATTCTGAGCATGTTCAAAGATGTGAATACCAATCATGGCAAGCCATGGTGCAGAAGTGTCAAAAAAGTGAAAATCAGGTGTGTGCCCAGCCTTGCATTGCTGCCAGTGGGTTTGAATAGGTGTTGAAGACATTAGTGAACAATGAAAAAAAAATTCTTTCTCATTTTTGACTACAGGTATAAAACACTCACAAGCCAATGACAATACTAAAATGTTACCACTACTATACTAAATAGCTGTGTATTTCATAACTGAGTTAATGTGTTGCTTTGAAAATATTAATCTTCATTAGAAAGATCAATCTGAAAAAAGTTTCAATACTGGGAGAGAACATTCAATCTTCCTTCACACAATTTATTCACACAGAAATGTGGCTCCTGTAGCTCTCTTTTGCTCTACTGGTTTTCTAGCCCCAGACATTATCAGCATTTTGCCCAGCACTGATACCTTCCACCCGCTCAGCAAATGTCAGTTTGCCAATTCACCTCAGTTGGCAACTAAAACCTCACTGAGTTCTTGTAGTGACTATTGGTCTTACACTGGTCTTTTCTTGGTTCGAGGAAAGCATCTGTAAGACAAGTACCAACACAACCCTAACAAATGGCAGCCTATTTCAGCACATGCAAAAATGAAAAATAGGAAGAAAGCAATTTCATTCTCAATGGTAGTCAAGAGAACATTTTTCCCCTTGCCATTATGTCAAAATGGAAAGAAAGAGCAGACCCAATAAAGGAATAAAATACTGCCTCACCATTTTTATCTCCTGGAAAGCTTGCAAGGTGCTCCACAGCCCTAACCTGTGCTTCTTCGCTGTCCCAGTACGCGTGCATGAACTCTGCACAAAACAAGACAATTCTAACCATTTCACTTGATATAAATACACACACAAAGCGAATTTCCTATCTTGTGCAAGACGTGAATTCACATGAATGAAAATATTGCAATTTGTGATCGTTTCAACCATTCACACATTGCTAAGCGTTGAGATTCACCTCTATGACCTGTGTACTGTGTACTGTATACTGACCTGTGTAATCTGAATAGCATTTTCAGATTACAATAACTTCATCCTTACTTAGAAGGAAAATGATGGAGGAAATGATAGATCCTTTGCTGGCATAAACTGGCTAATGTATTGGAATGCAAGCAACATACGCAAGGTTCCCAGATTTCCTGAAGAATCCTCTCTAGCCCCATTCAGCTACCACGTTGGGTAGGGCTGGTAATCTTACGAGGTTATAGAAAAGGTAGTGCAGCAATTCTTTCTCCAGATAATATTCTATTTCAAGTAACATAAATAGCTAATAATTCATTTTCCAGTCATCATACTATGAAATCCGTGTTATTTTCTTATTACCTAGAACACTGCCAATTCCTCCCTCAAGGAGCACGTCTACTATTTTCAGAGGCAGAGGCTCTTTTGGTTTTATTAGAAAGGAGCCAGCATCAGTCAGGTATTCCTTAATAAGCGGAAAATCAGTCAGAGCCCTAGAGTTACGAAAGACAAAAAGCAGTACCAATAAGTTACAATCAGTAAGTTACACAGATTTCCTGCAGGCTTTGTTTCACTATGATTTAAACCCCTAAACAATACCTCTTTGAAGACTGAGTTACTTTTGACGGAACTTATACATTTTACCTTAAAAATACTAAGGAAAGCACATACTTAGATTAAGCCATTCTTTGGCTTCAATTAGCTGTCTGTAAAAAGGCTACAGAAGCAAAATATTACATGTCGTACTGAAACGTATGCATTTTGCACATGTATATAATGCTCATTTCTAAAAAAAAGAGAAATGAAGTCTTTGAATCTTTTCTAGTAAGTCAATTTCTCAGGGAGATAAGATTAGCAGCCTTTTGTCAATCACTTTCAAATAGCAGCTAACACCCTCCCTTTTCGTTAAGGGAGGTGTATTTAGTGAAAAAATAGTAATAATAATAAAGAGAAAGCATCCAGAACTCACTTTGCAGTGGGTCTCATGCTGGGCTCAATATGTAGCATCATAAATAAAAGAGTGAATAAAGGCAGAATGCTGCTATCTCCATTTTGCATTAATGTCAGAAGTCCCTCAAGACGGCTGGTATCCTGTCTAATATCCTGCAGTAATGAAGTTATCTCTTCTGTCTGCAGAGAGGAGAGTATCAGAGGACCTTTCATACACTAACATACACATATCCTGGGGGACTCATGACATTTAAAATCTGAATTTAACGTCAAATTTATTTAACAAAATATTATTACATACGTTCAGAACACAGCAGGTCATCATGTCAAGTAGAATACAACCTAGGGACCAGATGTCAGATTTCTCACTAAAAGAAAAACTGAGTGTTTCTGGAGCCATCCAAGACTTGCTATCTGTTGAAATAAGAATCATATGGTAATGTTTCTAACAGTGTACTATATGCACAGTTTGGCTTGCACAGCCAGAATCTGTAGGCTCTAGTTCCATGTCAGATACTTCAGAGATATACAGCACAATTAGTCTTTTTTTTTACTGATGATATGCCACAGAAGACTGTAAGAAACACACTATAACTAATGAATAATTTTCCGTGATGTTACTGTGCATGCATAGAGCTAAATAGCCTTGCAACAAAATTTGTTGCAGAGAAGTTTTGTTCCTCACAGTCTTTCATCTAGCTACTGTTTTTTTTTTTCATTCTGAACACAATTCATACTGCAGGCAACCGTATATGCGCAGTTGAGCAGATACTTGTGAAGTGAATCTAGAAGGTATCAGAAAAATCTTAAGCAATAGTGCTAGCTGGATTTAGGTTAATGACTTAAATGCGACTGTTTATGTAATAGGCTATGATACAAGAAACACATCTACTTGACCCTTAGTTTCTTTTTAATATTCTCTTTATTCATTAGAAGAAAAAACAGCATAATACAGAAAACAAGGGAAAATGTGTGTCATGTTTCTTTTATTTTCCTCTGAGGATTAAAAATATCTACCACAACCAAATAAATAAATAAATAAATAAAATAGCTACCTTCTTCCACTCTTATTTTCCATTTCATTTCATCAGTCATAAGTGCTTCTGTACTGAAGTCAGAAAGCATGAAGGATACTTCATCAATCACAAGAACGTTCGATGGTTTGAGATTTCTACAACACAAACATTTTCTGTCAGCGTGTGAAATCAGAATGCAATAATGTATAACTACAGGTTCCCAGCATCTTTACACATGAAAAAAAAAGATAATGAACTCAAATACAATCTTTTCCTGCCTTTACTGAAAACTGCTTTAAAAATTGACTGCAACACAGATTTATCTGAGCATGTAATAGAATGCTTTAATCTGTTACTTTAGATACATGAAGTGTAGTTTGTGCCACGGACATTAAAATATAAACATTAGCAGACACAGCCAGAATTCCAGTCAGCAGAGACTGAATGGTATTAAAACTAATGATCACTTCTCAGCTTATTCCCAAGAGCAAATATAGAACATCTAGCATACCTTTTAAATGGATAATTCTACATAAAACTAAAGAATTAAATGACTTTCAAAAGTCACAAAAAACTAAGCTACGTACAAAGTGCAGAATTCTTATCTGCCAATCCTCCTTTTTGAGCAGTTAGATTCAATTCTTCTTAAGTGAACAGTTGTTCACTTAAGGTGAACATACAGGTGCTGCAAAGAGAACAGATTTCTACTCACCTGTGAATAATGTTTTGCTCGTGTATATAAAACAAAGCATCCACCATCTGCCCCAGGAACTGCAGAATCACCTACTGACAGGAATATACGTGAAAGTGCAAAGTAAACAGAGTAACAGAGAAATAAAACATTTCACATGAGAGAATTCCTTTGCTTGAAGCAGGGTCCATCCAAGAAGGAAGTAGTATTTTCCTCATATAATAAATCTGTCGATCACCCTGTGTACCACCAGTACAGTCAGTACTAGACAATTATTACTATCCGTATATTTTACAAATTAAAATCAAAACACGAAAAGATTTAAATGCTTGAGCACAAATTGTATTAGGAGATTATTATTATTATTATTATGGCAATTTCATATTGATTCAGGGCAAAACCGTAGTTTTCCAAACAGGCCTTAAGAAAAGCACTGTGTTTATACTTTGAAGGTTTTGGAGAAGGCTTTGAGAAGGAGGGAATACAGAGGAAGAAATCTCAGAGCAGTGAGACTCACTGATTTCAATCAAATGCATTTTCTGTACATTTTACCTTGTCTCTTATTTTCTCTGACTTCTGCCTTTTTTCCTTGATCAGAGATGAAAGATCTCCTTGGCCGGCGTGTTGCATTACCAGACAAAGGAACAGAGATGATATCTGTAAATAAAATTACACCAAGATTGCCTAAGTGTTTGCAGATAATAATATATCCAGCAAGAAAGCTAAAACCAAGCTCTCGGCCAAACAGGTAGGTGGAACTTTTACCAATACCAACATGTTCTGAGCTAATTAATCTCTCACAAAAGAGACAACATTTCCTTTATGAAAAATATAGCATATGTTTATTTTGAAAACACTACCAGGAGTCTTTTCTTTGAAGCTACATGGGACAATGCAATTCAAATACACATCCATAAAATCAACATGAATTCTTCCTGAGTGCTGAATCATGGCTGCAAGCACATAAATCAGAGCTTTTGGCTTCCTAAACCTGCTATAAAAGGGTTTTTAAGTAGGCATACTGAAGATGGTACAAAAGCAGCTTAAGATGATACATGCACTACAAAATGGTACAGAATAAGCAAAAACTAAACACCAGAATTTGTGACTCAGCACACAATCCGGCCATGTGATGGATTCTGACCCATATACCTTCTTCAGTATGTTTAATCAGGAGTTTAAAAAAACAGGTTAGTTACAGATCAGGTAACATCCACAGAAACAAGCCCAAATTTAAACCCGCAAAGAAAAAAAAAAAAAAAAAAAAAAAAGCTTATAGGCCTCTAACATTAACAAGTGCTCCAGTTGAACCAAACCTACTTCATTCTCACCTTATTATCCCATGTCACAAACAATTCCTTGTAAGCACAGATGTTTGGATGCTGAAGTTTCAGCAAATCCATTGCCTGCATAGAATAAAAACAAAATCCAGAGACAAAACCGACCATAGCTACACGCTCCACCCCACTAACAGGGCCCTGTATCGTATCCTAAGTCACTTTTTCATGTCACACGGCTGAATCAAACCTTTCTAAGCATAAGGTCTAGCATATATCTCCATGTACCAGTGTCAAGTGAAATATTTCAGGAAGATTCAACTCAATGCAATGCTGTAACAGCCTGGTGAGATATATGGGATATATCTCTTTTATATATGTGTGTGTGTGTGTGTGTGTATGGCATAGTCAAGATATAAAATGATCCTTTAAAAAACAAAAACTCCCCTTTATCCAATTCCTAACATTCAAATCTGAAAACACAGGTACGGAAGTCAAGGTGGTATTTCTAGCACAGACATTTTTTCCAGTAACTACTCTGCAAGCTTGGGCTATGGAAAATATGATGACACTAAAGAGATATTGTAATAAATAGTCTTACTCGATATGGATCTTGACTGTTTACATAGTTAATCACTGCAGATAAAAGGCTTTGTTCTATTTACAAAGTTCTACTACAGACTTTGGGTTTTGTAAGGAAAGCTACTAGAAAAGCTGCACTGGTACCTCCTTCAAGGCCTTGTTTGCTTGCTTTTCTTCAATGCATTCAACCTGTACCAAACAAACAGAAGATAATGATGAGATTGTAACACAGAGACAGCCAACCACTAAGGATCTCACAATGATCTTGCCAAGACTGTCGGAACCACAACGTGTGTATGAGTTGGCATAAATTTTAAATGTTAGCTCTCCATGGCAACCAATCTCTAATGTTTGGACCAGTCTGCTGGGAGGTGAACAGAAACTGAGGTTTCAAAGAGCCCAGGACTACTGGCCAGTCCTTTGTACTGTCAAAACACCAGGTTAGAACATGTGGATGGATGTGCAGGCTGCCCCCATTTCCCTCAATTCTAATCCCAGTATTCCAGTAAAATAACCCAAATGCTGGAGCTGTCGAAGGCAGCAGGTGTAGCAGCAGGGCAGTGTAGCGTGTACGTCTGCTCACGCAGCGGCCGAGCTGCTTTGCATGTTTGTCTCTTACAATCAAAAGCAGCCATGGAGATGAGGAGCCTGCTGGCAGGCTCTTGTTTTCCTAGCAACCGCCTTCTCACCTGCTTCATGACATACTTCTTCCTCGCGCTCTCCTCCTCTTTCAGTGCAACCACCAGCATAGTGCCCAGCGTGCCGGGCTGCAGCTGCTCCAGCACCTGTGGGACAGGGCACAGACCCTCACGCTCTCGCCCCGCTTCGAGGTGGGGGACGAGCGAGGTCCCTCCGAGCCCCTTCCCCATTGAGCCGCTCCAGACCCAGAGCATGTCCGGATCTGAAGCGGGGGGTGAGCAGACCCAATTCCCATCTTCCCTGAGGTCCAGGCTTCATATCCACAGGGCCATGGACCCCTTCTTAATGTCATGCACCCCACTAAGGTCCTCATGACCCCACAGCCCAGGGCCATGGACCCCTCCTCAACATCATGTACCCCCCTGAGGGCCTCATAAACCCACAGCCCAAGGCCACGTATCCCCCAGGGCCTCACTCCCCTCCCCAGGCCCCGCACCCCCCACCATTTTGTGACCAGGCCCCCTCGCCCCCCGCCATTTCCCTCACGCTGCCCCAGGCCGGGCAGGTCCCACAGGCACCTCATAGCTCTCCATGGCAGCTCCCCGTCCCTGGTGAACCTGGGGCAAAGAGAGGACAGCGGAGGAGGAGGAGCGGGGCCGCTTGTGAGCGGAGCTTCCAGCCCTCCCACCCTCAGCAGTGGCGCCCCTGGCCCCTGCCGGCCTCCATTTTGCGGTGCTGCCTGCCGGACATGGACGGTTTACAGTTGTGTGGCCACAAAACGTGTGTGTGGGGGGACATTTGCCTAGTGACAGCGCTGGGGCCCAAGGTTTTTTACGCTCTGTGGCTTTCCGCAGCGATGCTTCTGCGGATGGGGTTTTTCTGCTAAAACAGGAAGAAACTTGAAAAAAAAATAGGCCAAGCTCAGAGAATCTGCTCCCCTCACAGAATCAATGTAAATACTGTCCCCAACAAGGTGGCCTCAGGGCTCTAGTGCCACCTCAGTAACGCTGATAGGGACAAAATGCAGCCAGGCCTTTCCCCTGGCCCTATACCTCACTCCCCCAGGCACACGGTGTAGCTGTTTGTAGCGAAGTGATCAAAAAGCCACAGGTTGGAAAATAAATAAATAAATAAATAAAATTTTAAAAAATGTGCTGAGATGTGTAGGGGCAGAAGAACAGCCTTTCCGCAGGCCGGTGTGATTTGCAGCTGCAGCAGCCCTGCTCATCACCACAGCCTTGCTAGCACCCAGAGATTAAGAAAAATGGGAGAGGAAGGAAAACGGGAGAGGAAGGAAAGAGGGAAAAGTAGAGGAAAAGTGATTTATTTATATATTTACTTTAGGAATGAAGGGAAAACAGCCATTCCAAGGCATGAAAGAAAGAGGGGAAAGTGAAGCCAGGAGGAAGGCA